TGGGGGGCGCTGCGCCCGGCTCGGCCGGCCTGGGCTGCGGCCCGGGAGCCCCAGCCGCCAGTTCGCTGAGGCCCCGGCACCCCGGCCCCGCCGCCGCCTCTCCCCGGCCGCACTACCTGGGCGCCTCGGTCATCATCACCAACGGCAGGTGACCCGCCCGCGCAGGGCGGCCAGGGAGAAGCCATAGCCAGGCCCTCTCTGCTTCCTTTCTTTCCAAGTCCAGCAGACGGAGGGGCGAGCTGTATATGCACGATATAAATTAATTTATACAGAGACAACTATTTTAATAGAACGCCGCAGCCGACTTTCAGATTCTTTTAGTTGCCATGAAGGCCGGGGACGGGGACTGGAACCTGGCCTGAGGATGTCCCGGGAGCACATCTGTCTTCGCTCCCTATGCCAACCTGTGGCCTGGAAGCGCCCAGTTTCCGTGGGGGTGGGGGGGGACTTGAACTTCCTGCCCTTTAAGTCAACCAGACTTAAGGCATCTTGCCTTGTCCCCCAGGCCCAACAACGGGACATTCAAGGCATTGCACCACAGGCAGCCCGTGGTCCAGGTGGGTGGTGACGGGTGTCAGTCCCTTCAGAGCCCTTTCAGACACTTAGGTAAATGCAGAATGTTATCATCCCACGAACAGACAGCAATTCCACTGTCCTTAGAACTCCTTCATGCATCTCATTTAAAAATTTTAATCCTTTTTAAAATACAAAGCCAAGACAAGGGGGTGGACATGCAATTCTATTGTGTGTATGAACATGGGTGTGCTTCAAAAGCACATTAACAAGCTCGCTCTTCCCCCAGCCCTACGAACTCTTGACATCCAAGAGCAGCACCTTCAGAATATACGGAGTAGGCATTAAATGCAAAAAAAAAAAAGATACATATAGTCAGGTATTTTATGAGGAAGACCCTGTCAGGCTTAATTCCATGGCAAAATCCCTCTAGCCCTCAAAGATCTGTAATTCACTAGGCTTGTTTGTTGCAAGTAGTGCTAATATAGTTAAATTGCATGTGCAATATGGAAAACTGTTAATGGACTGCACCTTGTGGAAGAAAAACACATTTAAGGGATGTGAAGAAAATGATGTATACATTTTAAGCATTTTCTACATAGAGCTTCATACAAACATGTCACGTGTAACAGGTAAACAGAGATCCTTTTATAAAAGCACCAGCAGTGTTTAAAAATAAACTTCCCTTACTTTTTGTTTCATTTTTATGGTTTATGTATTTGTTTTGTCCTTCAGATGTCACCATTTAGGGTTGGGGGTGTGCTTCAATGGTAGAGTGCTCACCTAGGCTGGACAAGAAAAAAAAAAAAAAAAAAAACTATTTAGAAATCCCCTCATGGCTCTGAGCTGGACATTTGCCTTGACCACTACCTTTCAATTTTTCCACACTACAAATATTGTATCATTTTACCTTTTCCAAAACTGTTTCACTTGAGGAAACTTCTCCCACCTGTATGGAAAGGTTTTCACAAGTTGTTTGTGTTTTGACACAGGATCTCAATAGGTAGCACTGGCTGACTTGGAATTCCCTGTGTACACCAGGTTGGCCTCAAACTCACAGAGATCTACACCTGTCTCTGCTTCATGAATGCTGGGATTACAGGTGTGCATCACGACCTGGGACTCTAGGATTGTTTTTTTTAAAGCTCATCCTTCTAGAAACAACTGCATCAGGTGCCCTCAAAATGTGAACTTATCTTTAGTCAACGTTCTGTGAGACTCAGTGAGGAGCCTGTTTATTCCCTGCAGTGCATCAGATGGCCTTGTGGTGGAATTAAATTTGCAAGGCTAGGAACTTGAGCATGCATGGAAAGGGCTGGGCCACAAGATGTGTGCTCACACCTCTCACTTGCACAGCAATGCCTCACTGGTGCTTTCTCTATCAGTGTGCACACATACAGGAAGCCAAGGGGACCTTTTTTATGCTCACTAATCTTGTAATTAAGCCAGAGTCCTTGGAAGGTTTAGGTTTGATGCCTGGGACATATCACTACCATTTTTCGATAAAATACCACTAAATGGTTTGGTGTCGACCTTCGGGGCTGTATTAGTAGACACAAAGCATGAAGGTTTCTGGAGCAGGTTAACAGCAAACATTACTGCTGAGAAAAAAAAAAGCAGAACACCACCCCTTTAATAGATTTACAAGTGATAATGTAAACAGACTCAGCGCAGTGCATACATACTTGAAGAATAAAATGCATACTAGTGAAAATTTCCTTATCTGAACAAATATCACAGGTTTTCATAGCCGAGAACAGGAAGGAAGATTTCTCTTCAGAAAACCAAATTGGCTTCCTCAGGCAAAGTTGCCAAGCAGTTACCATGGCAACCCAATACTGTTACCCTCATCTTCAAGATTCTGCATGCCAAAGCCCTGGTATCGTTTCTTGATGTCTGTAAGGCTCTGACAAGAGAAAAGGAGGCATTTTAATAACTCTGCCTCTCTTTCACAAAAAAAGAAAAGAAAATCATAGTGGGCCCTAACATGCACCATGTTGACAAAAATGCCAGATCAATGGATTTGAGACCTAAGCTCAATTCAATCCTGGCGAGCCCGCACAGGGCCTCCCAGGGAAAGGAGTTCCATTATGTTCTTGGAAGCCCTTTTCTAGAAGAGCCACATGAAGGGGTGGGAAGGGTCTGAGGAAATCCGTTAGAGCCTGTGTTCTTTCTATCCCCACCCCTTTCATCCTTTTAAAGGTCCTATCAGCCAGGCCTTCCTCCCTTCCGCGTAGTGGTGTGTGTGTGTGTGTGTGTGTGTGTGTGTGTGTGTGTGTGTGTGTGTATGTGTGTGTGTGTGTGTGTGCGTGTGTGTGTAGGAAAGGAGGTATTTCCAACAGTCTACACATATAAAACTGATCCAAGTTTTAATTTATTGGACTCGTAGGGCAGTTGACGTAAACTGTGGAAACGGCTATAGATAAAACTGAGTCACAAGAACTGTTAAAAAAATAAATGAGGTGGGCATGGTGGCACACTCCTGTAGTCCCAGCACTAGGGAGGCAGAGGCAGGCAGATCTCTGTGAGTTCAAGGCCAGGCTGGTCTACATAGTGAATTCCAGGACAGCTGGGGCTACAGAGAGACCCTGTCTCAAAAAAAAAAAAAAAAAAAAAAAAAACAAAACCCAAAAAACAAACAAACAAAAAAACCCCCCATAAAATTACAGTAGCTTAAAATTTTGGTGAAGAGCGGTCCTTAAGTTATCTACAATGCATGACTCAAGCTGACTCTGAACTTAGGTATGATTTATAATGTTAAAGTCTTAGGGCAAAAATGTCTTCAATAAAAGTGGAGTGATTTTCATACACACACACAAATCCTAAAGAACAGAACTGAAAAGCTGTTACAGTAAAGCTGTTCCTCATTTCAGTGAAAAGATCTGTTTTTGCTTTTGGCCTTTGTGAACATTTGTTCTTCGGAGTAAAAAGATTTCCCTTCTGCCAAAAATCTGTAAATGACAAAACAAAAAAAAACCCTCACAAAATACCAGGTCCTTAATACTTAGAAACACACACATCATCCTTATGTAAAAACATTTATTTTGTTAAAGATGTGTTTAAATATTCCATAAAAAATATTGTAATCAGGGGCTGTCGAGATGCTCAGCAGTTAAAAGCACTGGCTGCTCTTGCAGAAGTCCTGGGTTTGGTTCCCAACAGTCACATGGCAGCTAACAACAGTCTAACTCCAGTTCCAGGGGATCTGATGCCTTCTTCTGGCTTCCGTGGTCATTGTATAACACAGGTACATTTACATACATGCAGGCAAAACACTCATACATGTAAAATAAAAAAATAGTGTAATCAAAAAGAAAAAGGAGGCTGTGGAAGAAAGAAGAATGAGCCTGAACCATAGTGAAAATCTTAAGTTTATTTTGGTAGACTTGCTTTTTTATAGGCATTGGTTTAAACAAACCAATTGGTTTAAAGTAATTCTTTTCAGAGAGGATTCTTTGAAAAGCTAAACATTAGCAAAGGTTTACATTTTTGTTTATTTCAAAGATGCATAGTAATGAACCAGGGATTCAGATTCCCGGTTTGCAGCAGGTCAGGGAAGCGAAGCCCCCAAGACCCTCCTCTTGTACTGTGGAAGTGTTGGGTGAGACAGGCAGGGTGCCACACTGTGTGTATGGGTAGGAGATCTACCCGGATCTACTCAGATTCTGTGGTCCCTCACTGGTCATGTGCATGTGCCCAAGCCTCAGCCAGGACACTCGCTCCTAGTCTGGGTCACATCAGTGTGCACAGTGAGACCACAGGGCACACATACTGCCATCTCCACCCCACCCCCCACCCCCTGCCAGGACTCCTGCATGGTGGAGCCACAAGAAACCCAGTTCTTGCCATTTCTACTTAATCCAGAGGTGGGATGCCTTGCCTTTCAGGACATGGTAGATGCTCAATGCACAGTCTACACTAGCAATAACCTAGGGCTCTAAAGTTCATGCAGATCCTGAGTTTGGTGGCCACATCTTAGGGTTAGGAAGCGACAAGCAAAGTTTCCCTTAAGACTAAAGTTTGGAGATCTCGGATCACTGAGTGCATAAACACCCCCAGCTGCACAGTGCAATGTAGCAGGTACTCAAGACTTCCCAACCTCACTGGAAGAATGCCTTTAATGTCTATGAAGGAAGTTGAAGTCTTTGGTTCATGGGAGGCAAAGCCAGGTTAGTGGAGAATGTAGCATCTGCTTCAAGGCTATTTCATCTCCCTCAGGACAACAAGGTGTCATGTTTGCATAAGAATACCACTCAAGTGTATGACTGCATAGGGTACAAACGCTATGCCCGTCTGCTCTGACATGACCACACTTCATTAGTTTTAATTTACAGAAGGGAAATTAAATGATAACATTTTTCTCCAAAGTAGAACTATCCAGAATAGACCCTCGGCTTAACACAAAACCTAGCATTTTTTTTTATTAAATAATCCCCCAAAGAAATTTAAAAAGTAATGATGGCAGATCTGAGAGATGACCAGTCTTGTATTACAAAGTCTGAGAAATGAGCCTGAGACATTGGCCTGGATTGTTGTGTCCTGGATGACACCTGGTAGACACCCTCTCAAGGGTGAGTCTATTTTATAATTTTGGGGTAGTGTGAACTTTTATTTAAACTCACAATTCCGAAAGAAGACCCGAGCATTTAGGAAAGATTTATATATATATATATATATCTAAATTTTTTGAGAAAAATAATTCAAATTGAAGCCTTATTTGAAAAAATACTTTTGAAGCTCTTTTAAAGTTACATTCCCCAAAGCACATATCAGGTTGGTGTACTTAAATATGTTATTTTTCCATCCTATGGGGTTGTCTATGAGGCTAAAGGTAGACAGACTTTTATACCGAAAACTGCAAGTTTCTGGAATTGGCCTGACTACACAGGCCTTGATAAAGATGGTGCTCGTTTACAATGATGGGATTTTCTTCAAAGCTGAATGAGTCATCACTTCCTTTCCGTTAACTTCAGCTGTGCAGGCAGGAAGAGGGAAGCGTGGACAGAAATCAGCTCCTTAAGGCTGAGCAGTTATGGACACGAGTCATAAGCCCCAGAGAACTAGGAGGTACACGGGAAGCATGGCACACATCTGGAAATGCAGACCCAGAAAGGCTTCCTCTCCTTTGTTCTTCCATTGAGACTTAGCACATCAGATTTTAAAAGTCTTCTTTTAAAGCTACACACGTGCGCACGCGCACACACACACACACACACACACACACACACACACACCTGTGTATACACAGGTATTCTCCTTCCAAACTGATGACATTTAGTGTCAATATCACTTTTTTTTCTTGGCAATACCAGGAAATGGGGGCAGAAGACTATGAGTTACAAATCAGTGCCACACTCTGTCCTGTGTGCACGGCACAGTCTTACAGGAACACTCCACATCTCACATAGAGCCTGGAATTGGCTTAAAGCCCCCAAATCACCCTCCTTTGTGTGTAGCAAAGGCAGCAAGCCTTCCTCTCCAGCTGTCTGAGCCAAGCATCCTGCCCTGCCTCCCAGTGAGGTGCCATCATACTTTAAAGGTCTCCAACTTGACACATCTTCAGAACACATGGCAAACTTGAACTTGGGAAGGAGTGCTCAGAATGTAAGGCCAAGGTAAAAAACTGATTTCCCTACAAGGCCATTGCAAGCACACCAGCCTCAGGTATCTCTGAAGCCTTTCAGATGTTGTTACTGGGCCACCATCACAGCAGAGAGTAACTTCTGGAAATCTACCTTGAGTGAAAAAAAAAAAAAAAAAAAAAAAAAAAAACCCAACAAAAAAAAACCCAAAAAAAAATATAAAAAAACAACCCACAACAAAATACCCCAAAATAAAATTTAAAAAACCAACCCAATGGTTAAATAGCACTGTGTGTTCTGGTGGGGAAATCTGGTTACCCATAAACAGCAATGACGCACCTCCAACTCGCCATTCACTAACATAGGCTATGGTCACTTAAAAAAAATTTTTTTTTAATAGCACAGGGCTAAAGGCCTTCACTACTGGGAAAACATTTGAATTATCCAATTGCTATTTCCAAGCAAAAATAAATTTTCCCAGTAAACACAAACCAAGTCCAGAGTAGAAAAAGAGTACTTTCACACCAGGTGAGATGGAACTAAACTCCTAAACTAACTCTCACCTGTCAATTCTTCACCAGAAGCAACTTCAAACACCCAATTAAACCACATGTATTTTTTTTAAAAAACCCAAACTCATAAAAGTAGAAAGGAAAACAAAACTTGAAGAGTTAACAAATGACTTGGAGAAAAGAAATTCACCTACAACTCTACATTAGTTTCCCAGCTCCTAGGTGGGCAAAGGTGAGAGCCAGTGCCAAGCTTTGCCCAAGTACCGGTGCACCCCAGTGGCAGGCTCCCTGTGCAGCATGCTGTGGCCCCAGGGCAGATCCAAGCTGTCTGGGTACCCGTGCTACCGATGCTTGGGCAGGATGAGGTTTCTCAGCATGTCAAAGGAGTTGCCATCTGGATGTACGGTCACAACCTCACAGTCCTTCTGATGAACCTGCAGGAACCCGGAATCATCTAGGCCCACGATAGACACTTGTGGTCCCTCGGCACTGCCCAGGCGGACTTGCTGACCACTGAAAATGAAGCACACCAACACTGGGTCACGAGGATGAATGGAAGGTGGGAACCGAGTAGCTGAGTGACTGCTTATTACACCAGGGACTTGGGGTCCTGGAGAGAGGCCTGGGGATGGCTACAACTAACACAGCCTAAGTAGAACTCTGACTTTTGATGCCCTCATGGCTGTCCTGGAACTCTCTATACTGTAGACTAAGTTGGCCTTGAACTCAAAGAGATCCACCCGCCTTTGTCTCCTGAGTGCTGGTATTAAAGGTGTGTGCCACTACTCCTGGCCCTATGAGTTGTCTTAATACCTACCAAAGTAGTCAAGTGGTAGACTGGAGCTTCTGTGTACTACATCACTCTAATCATATCCTGATCATATTGCTAATGATTTGAGTCACTGTCTCACCTCCAACACTCTTAAGACACACTGTGCAAGAGACAGGAAAGTAGAGGGAAGAAGATGGGATGGGGGACAAGAGAGGGTGACGGGCCAGTGAATGTGACCAAAGTACATCATACATGTATGAAATGTCTTAACAAAATCTGCTATTTTGCCCAATTAGTATATATATATGCTAATAAAGACAGGAAAAAAGAAAAGAAAAACACCGTGTGGGGGCTGGCGAGGTGGCTCAGCAGGGAAAGGCACTTGTCACACAAACCTGGTGACCTGAGTTTGATCCCTGGAATCCACATCAAGGTGGAAGGAGAGAGACAGCTCCATAAAACTGTCCCCTGATCACTACATGTGCACTATGGCACTTGTACCCACACATAGAACTCACATACACACAATAAATATAATTTAAGAAAAAGAAAGAAGACAGTCACTGTGTAAGTCTTGAGGCTTTGGCTGAGTTTTATCTTATAAAATCGAATTGGGTACCAGTTGAAAACACAGCCTCACATTACTTCCTTTGAATATTTCCCTGAATGCTTCCCTGTTCTGAATATTTGCTTGTTAAGCTATATCTTCTTCATATCTAAACCTCCATACACACCCAAGTTTTTATTTTGAATATGTTTCAAGCCTCTAGAAAAGTCAAAAGGATGCACAATAACCCTTGCATTACCTTCGCTTACAGTCACACCAAATAACATTTCCCTGTTTGCGGTCTCTCTCGACATACATGCATTTTGAATTTCTGCATTACTTAAAATGAAAGAATAGGACACTAATGAATCTCTCAGTTCTCAGTAATGAAGCTCCTCATGCAGCAGAGGGCCAGGAACAAAAGGTCACAAATGGCCAAAGTGTAGACATCAAGAGTCTGCTGAATGACGGTCCTTGGACAGGACCCCTTTACTGAACTTCACCCACCCAAGGCCCAGGGACCATGAGGAACAGGGAGCGGAAAGATTGTAAGAGCCCGGGAGGAGGTGCAGGACCATATGGATACAGTCCTACCAGCTCCTGAGACCCTGCTCATGTGATTCTATGGCAATGGTGTCAGCATACACAAATCCCATACAAACCCAGGCAGCAAAAACCCAGCATAGAACTGGGAAAATGAACATCAGACCCCAATCTTATCTGGAAATATTGGCAACTGATTACTGCTAGGTGAAGAAGAGCTGATCTTCCTAAAAGAAGGGACTCTAGATAGGCTGACTAGACCTCAGTGGATGGACTTGCACTGGGGAATGAATGGCTGGGGATACTAAAGACACAGTGGGCCTTAAAAGGAATGACAAGAGTATATGGGCTCCAGTTGGGGGGCTATGGGAGGTGCCAGTGAGGACCAGGGGTATAAAGATGATTAAGATTGTTTAAGATGTTCTGTATGAAATACACAAAAAATTCAATGAAAACAAACTTTAAAAAAATTAAGTTTGAAGCACCACACTGTAAGCACCCACACTTTAGCACCCACACTGTAAGCACCCACACTTTAGCACCCACACTGTAAGCACCCACACTTTAGCACGCTCCTCCTGACAAGACCACCAGCACACCTATCACCTGCAAGAAATTCAACCCTTCCAATCCCAAACATATGCACATAGGAGCAACACTAAATGGATTCAGTAGTTGCATGTATGTGTGTATGTATGTATATGTAACAATAATCATTATAAAAGAAGAGGTCATGAATTCTAGAGAGCAGGGATGGAGGGACATCGGAAGAGTTGGAAGAGAAGAGGAGGAGTGGGATGATGTAAATACAGTACTCATGAATTCTCAAAAATTGAGTAGGGCGTGGTGGCATACACCTGTTATCCCAGTATTTGGGAGGCCAGCTTGGTCTATATAGCAAGTTCCAGGCCAGCCAGGGCTACATAGTGAGTCTCTGTCTCAAAAACACACACAAATAGAAAAAAAATAGCCTGGAATAGAAAAGAAATTCAACTGTAATTATTAACAGTAACATACAGTACTTATCCTAGACACACGGTACCTAACATTCATTATATTAGATGTATTACATGTCGTCCAATATATATTTAATTTGTTCCAGTTCAAACACCCCTCAGTATCACATTAATACCCCTGTGGCTGGTTCCCTCCACCGGAATCTAACTGTGAGCAAACATCACATTTAGTCTCACACCTCTGTAGTCTATTCAGCCTCAAACACTTCCCACCTTCTTGTACTGGTTTGAAGACACTGATATTTTGGAAGGGTAGAGGCTTAGCAGTTCTCAGAATTTAGCTACAGGAGAATCCTGGGAGCCTTCATTACAGTGCAGGGCTGGCCTCAGTCCCAGAGTATCTGATTTTATAACTTCTGGGTGCAAATTTGCATTTGTAACAAGCTCCCACATGAGGCTGCAATTGTTGCATGGGGATCTCACCTTGAGAACCACTGTTCTAGAAGGTTCTACCATTTGGATGTATCTGATTACTTCCTCATTGTTAAATCACAGTAAACTGATTTAAGACGTTCTTGGTGTCATGTCCCTACTAAGGCATCCTCCCAGGCGGCAGGAGAGCTCCCTCCCACTCCTGGATATGTTGATCTGGTCAATTTCTGCTTACTGTGTTTTTCCATCACAGAGGTTAAAAAAATTATTATTCAGACCCACACTCAGCCCTTCATTTTAAGACACTGAACTGCTAAATTTATAAAGGAATTTTACAAGAAAGAAGACACTGACCTGTGTAACCAGTATTTATAATAGAGCGGAAGAACACCATTGGGCCCTTGGTCCTGAAATGTGTCGATCAGTTTCTCCAGCACAGTCACGGCCCTGGCTATGAGAAAATCGGCTCGTAGGGGCTTCAGGCCTGTTTTGTGCTGTTTATTGTATTCAGTGATGAGGTCGTTGATACATATGGTGGGGTTACTATTAGCCACGTTAAATCCACAGCCTGGACAGAAACAATTGAAAAAAGCCCAAACATCTTGATGTCTCAAAGCTACCACACATCCCTACCCACCTCCTGTAGGATTTTGCTACTGCTGGCTTTGTGGTGCTGGGGATGGAGCCCCAGGCCTTGCTAGGTAAGTGGTTGATCACTGAGCTTCAGCTCAGCCCTGCGGTTTCGGTTTTCTCTTCTTGCGTCCCTGTCCTTGTTCCAAATTTGCTGCCCCTGGCCACTTACAGAGTGACTTCCTTTACTATTCTGTTCAAGGGAGGACCATCTCAACCTTACAAAGAAACCGGAAAGCTGGTGTGGTGGCCCTTACCTGCAATCCCAGCACTCAGGAAGCTGGGGCAACCATCCTGGGCTATATAGCAAGATCCTGTCTTAAAAAAATTCACAACTCATAGAATCAAACAGCGATTCCTGGAACAGAGCTTCATAATGTTCCCAAAATAACAATGACTTTTTGTGTTCGTCTGGCCAAGAGTTATATATTAAATACTAAATGCAATCTCATTCCTTTTCCTAGTTTAATGACAGAGCACCTACCCAGGGCTGGATGTTTATTCAGAACTCTAGGGATCAAGCTCAGAGATTTCAAACCTTGGTCCTGGCCCATCCCTAGAACACATCTTTTAATACTCTATCTCTGGAAGCTGCTGGGGCTGAGGTCACACTACCAAGAAGGAGCTAGCCTAAGCTCAGGGGCTCTTTTTTAGTTCTTCAGGTTTCTAAACCAATGTTGCAAGACAGGAGTTACCAAGGGCTCATCTGGCCTGTTACTTAACATCACGCCTCTCGGGGAGAGGTTGGCATCTTCAGAGAAGCCAGATCTTAGTGAGCAGCAGGGCCCCGAGTCAACACCAAAGGTCTCTGGTAAGAGAGAAAGGGCCTTCCTGGTTATACTTACTGTAGGAAAAAAATCTGCTCAATGTAACACATTTGTTGTAACTTAGTAGCCTGGTAAGTTCAGGGCAAAGAGAAGGGCTGGATTGACCTCTGGGTCTAAAAAATTATACTGATTATTAAAGTATAAAGCAAGATTGTTACACATGGAAAAACAAGGAATTACAGCAACAGAGGCAGAATCTGCAGTTGAAAGCAAAGCAGTGGGGCCTGGGAAGCAGCTCAGTTGGTAGAGCGCTGGCCTGGAATGCAGAAAGCCCAGGGTTTGGTCCCCAGTGCTGCAGAACCTGCAGTGGCACATGCCTGTAACCCCAGCCCTTGGGGGTAGACAAGGGGGATCAGAAGTTTAAGATTGTCTTTGGATACATAGGAAGTTCCAGGCCAGTCTGGACTAGAGATTCCCCTCCACCAAAAAAAAAAAAAAAAAAAAAAAAAAAAAAAAAAAAAAAAAAAAGCACAAAATCAAATGCTATATCATACTGCAAATTCTCCTTGCAGTCACAAGATTAAAAGTCCTAAAATTAAAAGTCTGAGGGAGAATAATAACATGAATTGCTATCAACTTGTTCCTCCATGTCCTTCCAAAAACCAAGGAGTAGTCCTGCTGATAACTCTGAAATCTTCCCTGTTGGAGACTTCTAGCCTCCAAAGGCCTTGAGAATTTAATAAAAGCTGTGGATTCCCACATGGACACAATCCCTCAGCTTCCTGAAGCAATCCACTGGCCTCAGTACCTGAGGAGGATACTTGGAACCTGTATCTAGTCCAATCACTGACTTAATATCAGGTGTGAGGCTGTGAAAGGATGGAGTAACTTGCCTGTAATAATGCTGCCCGTTGGTAGCCAGCTGAAAACATGAGCCTTGCACTCTTTGGTTGGTATTTCACATATTTCTATCTGTTTCTGATTTCTGAGTGACAACTTGACTCTACTGGGCATTAGGGGAGGCTGGAGATTGGATGGTCAGGGAACTAAGAACCTCTAAAACCGCCTGCCCCCAACCCTTTCCTTTCCTGACTGGACGCACTGAGTTGAAGCTTTTTTGGGAAGGTTAAAAAAGAAGGCAACTTTTTCAGAGCTGTGAAAGTTCCTAGTTTTGTTTCTCTTGCTATGACACATACCCTGACAGAAAGCAAGTTCGGAGAGAAGGCATTTATTTTGGCTCGAATTTCCAGGTTATAGACTATCATTTCCCAGCATGCAAAGAACCAGGAATGGAAGCAGCTCGTCACATCCCATCCACAGAGAGGAATACCTGGATGCAGGTTTCTGATGCTTAGTGTACTCTCCACTCTTACATAGTCCAGGACTCCAAGCCCAGGAACAGTGCTGCCCATGGTGGGCTGGGTCTTCCTGCATCAATGAACGTAATCAAGACAATTCCCCACAGTCACATCCACAGGCCCACCTGACCTACAGGATCCCTCAGTGAGACTTTCTTCCCAGGTATTCTACCCTGTGTCAAGGTGACAATTAAAACTATGGCAAACACTAGCTTTCTTATTATAAAATGGTAAAATATTTGTTTTTTAGCATTTCAAGTTCCACGAGAAGCAGATACTCAGAAAGAAGACACCTGTTAGGTATTACACCAATTTAGTCCCAGGCAGGAACTGCTAAATCCCTAATTCAACTAATCTGGTCCTTTCTGTATCTATCACACTCTACAACTATAAGACTAAAAATAGTTATAATATCTGCTCTTCCAGATGTAGGCATGCATATACACATAAGCCATTTAAACGTTTTTTAATCAATCTGAAAAAATGCTGGGGCAGAGGGAAGACTTTAAAAACTCACCAATAAGGATATAAAATGTTTCTCCCATAAGTGTTGAATTAACCAGAACTCCACCAATCTTCATGAGGTCACCATAATAAATATCATTGGGCCATTTCACTCGTAAGTTGATATCCTAAAGGAAAATGTGCCTGTTAATTAAGCAACCAACCACATGACACAAAGGAACAGGAGTCATTCGTCTAACTAGAGGATGAACAGTATATTCTAGAAGCTAATGGAATGGGGGCTTGGCCCTTCTCTTTCAGACAATTGATCACTATTCGAGGGCAGGTAGTAGTGCAGTATTAAAGTACCTGTTGGGACCAGAAGGTGAAAGACTGACAGAACAAAATTAGCATCAACCCAGCACTCTCTCCTACCCCACCAGCTTCTCATTACTAGAAACGCTTTCTGGCCAGCCCCAGCATAGCTATGTTGGGAGGCTGAGGCAGGAGGATCCCAAGTTCAAAGCTTGCCTGGGCTACAGAGTGAATTCACATCCTACCTGGCAACTCAGTGGGACCCTGTCTTAAAATGAAAATAGGAGGGGGCCTAGAGAGAGGGCTCAGCAGTTAAGAGCACTGACTGCTCTTGCAGAGGACCCAGGTTCGATTCCCAACACCCACATGGCGGCTACTAGCCATCCAAAACTCCAGTTCCAGGGGAATCCAAAACCTTCTTCTGACCTCTGTGGCATTGCACGACACAGGTGCATTCACATACATGCAGGCAATACACTCATACACATAAAATAAAAATAATAAAGAAAAAAGGGGAAAAAGTAAAGGAGGGCTAGGGATATTGGCTTAGTGGTAGAGCACTTGCTGAGCATATATGAGGACTTGGGTTCGATCCTAGTATTGTAAATGAACAAAAACCCTCCAAACAAAACAACAAAAGGAACCAAAAAACCCACTTTCTGAAGACGGCTGTCTTGTGAATTTAGACGTTATAGCTTAGTATCACTAAGACCACCAGAGAGCACCTCTCAAGTGCGAGGTGTGGGCCCATCAGAGAATACTGCCCTCGGGTTCTTCTCCATTAAGGAGCCCTGTATGACAAGGATGGCCCTGAATTGAGCAGAGTCACAAAGGCAGATGGAAAGTCTCAAGCAGAATGCTATAAAGGAGCAGAAGAGCTGTTTCATCTAGCTCTTAGAGAAAGCTAAAGAACCGTCCACAGTCATCCTGGGTAAAGGAAATGGACTTGACCTGTGGCTGTGCCCCCTCCATCCTAAACAACGTGGACTGCAGGGATCTGCCAGTGCCCTGGCACAGCAGAACAGACAAGGTGGGCACTGCCTTGACGAGGCCTCCCAGACCTCTACCTGCTCCTGGAAACACAGACTAGACTAGACCAAGAAGCCCGGGTTAGACCTCTTAGTCCTGGGTCTGAGAGTCAGGCTGGGAGATGGGTGAGTAAAGGAAGCCTTTATGGAGATGTGAGTCTTGAGGAGAAATACTCAGTAAAAGAAAGCCAAGAGACCAGTAAGCCACTGGCCTCCAAGTCAATGGGGCTGGTTTTCCTGTACTGTGGGTGACAGACAGCACAGAGTCCTTCCCAGCACCAGTCTGTATGCCCTGTATACCAAATCCCCATGTTGGTATGCATCTCATCCCCATTTAGAGGAAGAGGCTATATGGCTCCCAAGCTTACACCCCTTGGCAGAGGCGTACTGGGATTTGAGCCCAGGACTTTGTAACACCAAGCCTGGGTGCTTGATACTGTATAACCTGCTACTTCTGTGAAATTCCCTCCTCTCTTTCTACCAGGTCTTCTGATGGCCTCTGCCCTTTAGGAGTGCCACCACCACCCTAGCACACTAGTCCAGGCTGAGAGAAAAGCAGCAGAAGAGAAAAGAGCAGCAGAAAACAGTCAATGGGATTTGGGGTGCTTACAAGGACCCTTCATTCTTTTCTGACTAGAACTGGGGTCCTCAATGGTGGGCATCCATCAATCACAGGAGACATAGGCAACTGCCTGGATGAGTGCTGCTGGTGCTCAGTGAGAGAGGCCAGGATGCTGCTCCCCTCTTTGCACACAGGATGTCAGGACCCTAAAAGTCCACAGCAGTAAGGCCGGCAGACTTGTCTGCAAAACCTGTGAGCTGGAGATGCTGGTCTCTGCCGCTCTCCCCAAGCCACTTCTTTCCCCTTTGCTGTCATCCTCCTCCCACCTGTGCTCCCCATGATGATGACGGCACCAAGCGCAAGTCCCCATCCTGCCACGTGTTCCAGAGCTCAGACCCAGCTCCTCCACACACGGCCGTAGCTGTCTTCTGAGCTGGCTCTGTGCTCCGGCTCCGACCGACTTTAGGTTTCCAGATCTTGTTTAGAAACAAAACAGCTTATGGAATCCTGGGTTCTCCTTCAGGCAAATACGAGAATCTATCTAAAGATGAAAAGGTAGGCTATGAACTGCTTTTCCCTGTCTTTGATGGTTGACTGATTGATTTTGAGTCAGGGGTTTCACGTTGCTCTCAAATTCTCAAATTCTGTATGTAGCTGAGGATGGGCTTGATTTCTGATCCTCCTGTCTCCACTTCCCAAATGCTGAGTTTACAAGCACATGCTACCACACTAAGTTTATACAGTGGTGTTGGGGATGGAACCCAGGCCTTTGTGCATTATAGGCAAGTACTCTACCAACTGAGCTATGTCTCCATCCTTGATCATTAGTCCAACACCTACTGGAACTCCCTTATGTATACAAGCATTACAGCTGATACTGCACCGACCCAAGTGAAACGAATCCTGCCTTCGCACAACTGGGAAATCGTGGGTAAGGGAAGGGGGTACACATGACTCTATCTCAAAGAAACATGACGCTTGTGCCCTAAGAGAAATGCTGTAAAGTCCTGGCGGGGGGGGGGGGCTGCTGGAAGATTCAGGGAAGGGCACTTGAGCTGGACCTCAAAGGAGGAACAGAACTTTAAGATGCGGAGAAAAGAATAAGAATAGGGGGCTGTGTGAGAGAGGGGTGAGGGAGTCCAGTGGGGAGGGCAGGGACAGAGACAACAGTGGAGCAGGAGTAGGCAGTCCAGGATCTGGGAGGAAGCCAGCACGCCAGTGACACTGACTGAGTGTGAGGAGAATGGTCCTGACCTGTGTGCTGACAGTTACATCCAACTAGAGACGAGCTAGCACCCCAGTGAAGACCATAAAGGCAGGGAGGCTAATCCAGCCATCCAGCAGCCACTCTATATAGGCCACTGGGTGCATCAAAAGTAATTATACTCAAGGAGTGCTTTGTGTTGAACTTGGAGCACCTGTGGAAGCCAGGAAATTAGAAAGAGGCCTTGGGGTGGGGTTCTTGAGGGAGGGGGCCTAGCACAGAAAAAAGGAAAAAAATGAGGGGGTAAACTGTGGGGGAAAGGTTTAAAAAGGGAGGGAGATGGGGCAATTGGGAGATGAGGGCAAGTGGGGGAGGGCTTCAAAGTGAAGAAGTATGAAAAAGACACATAGGATCTATTTTATACCCCAAATCCTCAGTGCCAGGCACAGTGTACCACCCTTTGAGTTGTTGAGAAGGCCCCTAAAAACAGCACATGCTTCTGCCATTGCCCTTGGCTGCCCACCATAAGTAGATGGTAAGACCCTGTTGTTGACACCACACACTTTGATTACAGGACAGAGAAGTCAATCTTGAACTGATGGGGAAACTTCCTTCTAGCTGGCTAGCTTTCTTAGCATCAGAAAGTACTATGCAGGCCGCTGGGGGAGAAAAGATGTCAGTGGTCAGGCAAGATGCACTAACTGGCGGAATGGTGGCATGACTGTTCTGGGGGTAGCCAACCACTTTCTGATTGGATTTGAGGTCTGCTTCACAGGAAGGAATTCATGCCTGATACTGTAAACCTGGTCAAAAGCCCATGGCTAGAGAGGTCATAGGCCCTAGAGGGTAACATACTACTAGTGTTTTGCCAAGAGGTCATGTTGTCAAACTGTAATCTAAATATTTATGTCTATACCCAAGATCTGTGTTGCTCTCAACCTTGGTCAGAGACACTTCTTTCTGCAGTGTGCAGAGGTTAATGCAGAGACTCACAATGGTCAAAGTACCAAAAACAAGTTGCTATGAGTGTTTAACCCTAAATGGGACATCTATAGAAATTTCTCCTCCCCAAGGCTCAGAAAACATCAAGGAAGAGGGCGCAGAAAGGCTGTAAGGGCAGGAGGATGGGAAGGAATTCTGCAAAATGTTGTTATGACTATGACATGGCCATTGCACTCATGACCTCACAGCAGCTGTGGAAACCTGTACACGATCAAACCACTCAAAATTCTAGTACAGATGGGGAATGAGCTCAGGAAGACCCACTTTTGGCTGAGGAGCTATTGGCAGCTGATGGCTTCTAGGGGAGGGAGTGTGGGTTTTCATGGGTGGTGTGACCACTAGTAGGTTGACCGGGCTCCAGGGGCTGGCCCCACACCCATACAGTACAAATATGGGCAGCACACGGGACCCAATGGGTTATAAAAAGTAAAATAAGAGGACATGAAGTAGAGAGGGGGATGTGCTGGGGGGGTGTCCTGGGGAAGTGGAAGTAGAGATAGGTAGATATGATCAAAATACATTACATACGTGTAAAATAAAGAAGGCAATAAAATAACTCCACTGAAGATGAAAATCACACCACACAGGTGAGGCTGAGACTGACACTTGTGGAAACAGGGTAAGAATGTTAGAGACGGCTGCTTCAGGTGCACCATGGGGCTTCCCGCCTCCCTAACAGCCTACGACCCCCAGGCCCTGGCACAGCTTCTGCACACCGCAGGGGCCCAGAGAAAGCACACTAAGTTAACTAGTAAGGCAACAAGGTCAAAACCAAAGCCGTGACAAAGGTAAGCAGCCTCACTTCCTGTTCCAGGCTCAGAGTTGGACTTGTACTGAGGTTAACTGCTAGGGTCAAATGTGCCTGGTCCCATGACAGAGCTCTCCATTCTCAATGCTTTCGATGAGATCAGGTACATGGCTCAGGTGCCTTGAAGGTCTGTGACACTCTGACGGGCTCAGAGCCAAGACGTGGGGTAACTGTGCCGGTCAGCGATCTGTGTAAGGAGAAGATGGGCCTCAGAATTTCCAGCATCTCAGGAACTGGCCACCTGGGAGGGGACATGGGGGCTGCAGAGGGCTGCCAATAACAAGGCTTTCAGACTTCTCTAACAGTGCTTTACACATCTCACTTCGGGAATCAGTAGCCTTTTCTTCTTCCCTTTGAAAGCCTGATGCAAGAGCCGAAGGAGGAGGGAGGCAGGTGCACCTCCCACGGCCACGTGAAACTCCTGCAGGAACATTTCAGGGGTGTATGGAAGCAGGGCCAGGTGTAGAAGAGAAGGTTCCTGTCACCGAGTCATCATTTTCTTATTGTCTTTTCAGTAGCTGATTCTAAAGTGTGTGGCAGTGGTAAGGATGCAGGTACATCTGTCCTCGCTGTGGGGAAAGCAGCACCACACGAACTCCTGCCCTTGAACTCCATCAGCCACACACGGGGCAGCTCTGCTGAGTGGAGGTGGAAATTTAAAGGTTCTTTAGGCCACTAGACTAGCTCCTTTTACTGAAAATGCAGGCAGCTTCCCTCCAGCCCCAAAGTTGCATACAGACTTTGAAACAAAGGAAAAGCTTGTTCTTATTAGGTTTTAAGAAATCTGACAAACGGGCTGGAGAGATGGCTCAGCAGTTAAGAACACTGGCTGCTCTTACAGAGGACCTGGGTTCAATTCCCAGCACCCACATGGTGGCTAACAACCGTCTAACAACTCCAGTTCTAGGAAACCCAACACCCTCTTCTGGCCTTTGTAGACACTGCACGTGTGGGTGCACTTACATACATGGCAGGCAAAACACTTACACATAAAAAAAAAAAATAAAAATCTGACAAAGAGGGGTTGGAGAGATAGATGCTCAGTGGTTAAGAGCACTGACTGCTCTTGCAGAGGACCCAGGTTCAATTCCCAGCACCCACATGGTGGCTACGAACCGTCCTTAACTCCAGTTCCAGGGGACTCCGAAGCCCTCTTTGATCTCCGCGGCATTGCACAACACAGATGCACTCACAAACATGCAGGCAATACACTTAAAAAATCTGACAAAGAACATGGAAAGGGAGTTGTGTGGAGAAACTGCAGCCCGAGCGGTACACTTTAAATGGCACCTCAAACACTTTGATGCCATCAATTACACCAACACATGCTACAAACGGAGCAAGTTGAGGTCTGTGTGCTCCATAGGAAGATGAAGAAAAACTGAACTATACGTACCTCATACTCAGGGATGGACCGAACTGCCTCCACGACAGCCAGAGACATCAGATGCTGGACAAATGGAATCCTCTGTCCCAGCTGTGACCTCAGGGGGATGGAGACCAGCACAGTGGAAAGAGCACATCCCACGGGGCTCAGCCAGGCATTCGGACCTCGCCCTGGAACAAAGGTCAGTGAGAAACCACTTCTTTATCACAGGAACACTCCCAGACACCCAATTCCCAGCACCCACATGGTGGCTACGAACCGTCCTTAACTCCAGTTCCAGGGGACTCCGAAGCCCTCTTTGATCTCCGCGGCATTGCACAACACAGATGCACTCACAAACATGCAGGCAATACACTTAAAAAATCTGACAAAGAACATGGAAAGGGAGTTGTGTGGAGAAACTGCAGCCCGAGCGGTACACTTTAAATGGCACCTCAAACACTTTGATGCCATCAATTACACCAACACATGCTACAAACGGAGCAAGTTGAGGTCTGTGTGCTCCATAGGAAGATGAAGAAAAACTGAACTATACGTACCTCATACTCAGGGATGGACCGAACTGCCTCCACGACAGCCAGAGACATCAGATGCTGGACAAATGGAATCCTCTGTCCCAGCTGTGACCTCAGGGGGATGGAGACCAGCACAGTGGAAAGAGCACATCCCACGGGGCTCAGCCAGGCATTCGGACCTCGCCCTGGAACAAAGGTCAGTGAGAAACCACTTCTTTATCACAGGAACACTCCCAGACACCCATGTCACAAAGACACACGTAAAAAGCCAGGCATGGAGATGGGGCGATGGCTCGGTGGATAAAAGCACTTGCCGCACAAGCATGAGGACCAAGTTCAGATCCCCCAAACCCACATAAGCAGGTGTGGCAGTTGCCTGTAATCCCAGCACTGGTGATACAGGGGCAGTGGATCCCTGGGGTAAACTGGCTAGTCAAACTAGCTGGAATTAGCAAGCTCCAGGTTCAGTGAGAGACCCTGCCTTAATAAATAAAACAGAGAATGATTGATTGGGGCCTCCACATTCATGTGCACATGCATGCACCCCAATTGGCACCTCCCTGTGGAGAGGCACTGATCCAGTGCCCCCTACCATAAATTCCAGTGTCTGCTGGGTGGGGGCTGGTGAGCAAGCGCCCCCCGCATGTGACACTTACTGCAGGCTCAGACAGCTGTTTACTGAGAACCTTCAGGAAAATAATTCCTAGAACTTGATTTCTGTCACAATCTGCAAAGCCTGGGAGGTACTGGGGAACACAGATTACCAGGTGTGACAGCCATCACATTCAAACAGGGAGGGATAAACTGTCTGCGGACTGCCTGTGTTCTAAGGCTGAAGCTGGCCTTGGCGATCTCCTTCTCTCCTGCACCATTTCAGGGGGCTGTTAGAATGGAAAAAAATCTAACTTAAGTAATTTCTGGGTTCAACACACACAATCAATAGGCTCTCAAGCCAGGAGACTCACGGGTTTTCAGAAAGAAAAATAACAGCAATGATAACAGAAGATGACTGACCTTTGCCCTGGGTCTGCCGGATTGCGATGGCGATTAAACCCATTTCCTGGGGCATCTCAAACATCAACCTGTAAATGGTGGGAAAAACCAGTCAGCTAGAACGGGCATGTAGAGGAGGGTCAGCAGCTCGGCCAGAAAAGGGGCGAGTGTGTGCATGTGCACGGTGGCCAAAGAAGGCCAATTCCAGGTTCAACGGTCTGCACAGCTGTAGAGCAGGAAGGGCACTGCTCTGTTGCGTAGCATCTGATGGGGACCTGAGGGAGAAAACACCACTGAAGGCCAGGGAGAGAACCTGCCTGAGCTGCTCTCCCTTTAAGGCTCATGAGCTTACAGGTCTTTGAACTATTTTATCGAGTTCGTTCTTCCGCCTCCCCTGTTTTTCTACCTTCCTAAGTGACAACTGGCAGCTCCTGACATTTGTTTCTACTTATGGCGTGTTTCTACTTGCGGCAGGTTTCTGTTCGAATGCTACAACACAATCACATCAGACGTTTCTGATTATTCAGAAACCGAGTTGGTAATAAAGTTGGTTAAAAGATCCCCCGTCCCTTGAGAACTAATTATGTTTTAACTGTAGTAAATAAAGCGACACCTTCTGAGAATTCCTGAAAACCCCAGATCCTTTTGGCCTCAGTTCAGCTCTTAAAATGGTTTCACATAAAAGAAGATAAACCTCTCTTTGGGAGTTAGGTAGCAGTAATCTACTTACGACACCTCTCTACCTGGCAGGTCAGCATCAGGTTTTTTTTTTTTTTTTTAAGGAAAAACACATACACATATACCCAACAAAATCCCTCATTCTGAGCATTTACTCCAAGTTACATTCTCCGCATTTTAGTTCCATGTTAAGACAGTTTCCGCTACTCTCCCACCTGGCACTGAGCAAATACAATTCGGAGTAGAAGACATTAAAATAGCAAAAGAAAGGCTTTCCCATCTGTCAGTGCGGTGGGATAGTTCTTTCAATTCACTCTATCATCTATCATCCAGCCATCTATCTATCATCTATCCATCTATCCATCTACCCATCTACCTACCTACCTATCTATCCATCCATCCATCCATCATCCATCTATCATCTATCTATCTATCTATCTATCTATCTATCTATCTCCCATCCATCCATCCATCTGCCCACTCACTCATCCATATATTCACCTATCATCATCTATCTGAAGGAGGGGAGTGGCTGGGCAGGGTAGAGTGGAGCTGGAATTCTGTATTAACACAGAATTTCCAATAATCAGTCTAGAGAAATCTGACCTTGTGCCAGGCCCACTTTCATCTCACATGAACTACAGCCCCACAAACATTTCTCTTGGACACCATGAATAACACATTGATATGAAGTGTGTCTATACACTGGGGCTCCAAGAATGAAATGTCCTTGGCTTGTGCTGGATGAGCAGAAAATCCTGAGGATTCTTTGTCCCATAACAAGAGTTAATATTGTCTTCTAAGAACTTCTGCTTTCTTTCCAGCAGCCTTCACCCAGGGTCCTGAGGCCCAGGGCTTCCAGGGTAAATGAGGAGAGAGTGTGTGGTGGTAGTGTAAGGGGAGATTTAGCACACTGTGAGCAGACTGCAGAGGCTCCTTGGATGATGGGAGATCTGCAATGTTCTTTAAATAAATAAACAGTGGACAGTAGACAGTCAAATATTGCAAGCTGGGGATGGTGACTATGGAAGGGGGGAAGGGAAAGAGGGGGAGGGAAGGGGGGAGAGGGAGGGAGGGGGGAGGGAAGGAGGGGGGAGGTTGCAGGAAGACAGGCGGTTCAGAAACCAAACACAGGCTTCTAGAACAAAGAGAAATGATTAAGGGAACATACGCACTAAACTGCTAGAGGTTTGGCAGCAGTTAATAGGGCACATTAATGAGTGGAGTAAGCCTGCTGCTGAGGCCAAGAAGAAATGCTGTGAGTGAGACGAGGGAAGGAACTAATGCCTGTTTGAGACAACTGGAGGCCACCAGATTTATTTGAGCTATCTGAGATAGCTCGGGGACCAAAATGCAGGGCTCATGGCCAACAAGGAAGCATTTATGGACTGCGTCTATTTTTTGTTTCTGAACTCGAAGCTGCAGTCTGCTTTAAGCAGAGAAAAAGAAACCATAATGTATCTCTACCCTTCGCTGATACCCTTGCAAAAGGAAAAAGCACAGGGTGGGGGAGTGTGCTCTATAATGTTTACCTAGAGGCCTCGATCTGCTTTTACGGTTGGCAAAGGTTGTAGAATAAAAAGCGTTGGGCTGTGTGCATGCGCTGCTGTATCAAAGGGACACCCAAGCACTGTGCCGCCTGTGTGCATGCGCTGCTGTATCAAAGGGACACCCAAGCACTGTGCCGCCTGTGTTGGGTCTGAAACTTCCAGAACCCTAGAAAGGGTCACTTTGCAATTAAATTCCCGACCCCACCGTGACCACATGGGTTACAGAGGCCATAATGGTACCCAGGGGAGCTCTGCCAAGAGTGTCCTGACTTTTATTTACATGGTTGTTGAGATGAAGTTTCAATAATCACATTAATTTAGAAGATAGACCAGAAAGAACTAGTGAAAACTGCGAATAAGTAAAAATTTAAATTGAGATGCAGTCCATCTGCTTTGGAGATCTAACAGCCCACATTCCCACCATTAGACAAGTAGAAATTTGGAAATGATCTAATTTCATTAGTGAAACAGCTAGCAGAGTTACAGTACAAGACACTGAAGGAATAATGGCAGCCGTTAAGGGGACAGCTGTGAAGGTTACACAGAAACACAGAGGGGCACGTTGGCCACAGAGCGCTAAATGAACAGCAAGATTCAAAAGCAACAGATGCATTTATTCAACCTGTGCAAAATTCATAGAACAGGGAAGGAAGGTAAACTGTTAATGGGTGGCTACAGTAGGATGCTATTTGTCTTTCCTTTTTTTAAAGAAAAAATTTTTTTGGTCTTTTTGAAACGGGGTCTCCCTGTTGGGGACCCCTGCTGTTTGGGTTGCAGTCTCTCCATGTCCGGATAACCTAAGGGGCTCAGCGTTTTTATGCAGAGACTCCCCTTTCCAGCAGGGCACCTCCTACTCTCTTCCTGACTCACTTTTGAAGTGGCCGCCACAGATACATGACCCCTGGCATAAAAACTACCAGGTTTTCCTATATAATAATCAGGCATTGTCTGACAGTCTGATAGAAGCCCACCGCCACATGTAAATGGGGCATCCTAGGAGCACCTATCAACTGAGGCTTTTGCTACTGCCTCCACACTATAAATCTTCTGGTTTCACCCCAATAAAGCGAAGCTGTATCACTGAACTTGTCTGGAGCTGTCACTGCGCCTGGGACCAGCCTGTGATTCAGTCTTCCCGGAGGGGGCTGTCCTTCCGTCAACATTCACTCACAAAGATCCTGCGTTCGCTGTTCTTGCACCTCCCCTGCCCGACGCGGACCGCGTGCACAGAGGGAGCATCCCGCAGCTGGCGCAGAGCTCGCCAGCGCCGGGCTAGGGCCAGCCGATCTGCAGAGCTCCGCCTGCACTTCCAGCCTCCGAGAGCCAGAGACCCGCACAGCAGCGCGCGACCCCACCGTGCGCGCACAACATGTATTTATTCAACCTGTGCAAAATTCATAGAACCGGGAAGGAAGGTAAACTGTTAATGGGTGGCTACAGTAGGATGCTATTTGTCTTTCCTTTTTTTAAAGAAAAATTTTTTTTCGTCTTTTTGAAACGGGGTCTCCCCGGCCTGGAACTCACTATGTAGACCAGGCTGGCCTTGAACTCACAGAGATCCACCTGCCTCTGCCTCCCAAGTGCTGGGATTAAAGGCGTGCACCACCACACCTGGCGATTAATTACTTTTTAATTTTAAAATTATTTTGAATTTCTTTTGGGAAAACATGTTTTTTATATGTAGATATAATTATTCATAAATATTTCTAGGACCAAGACCAAAAGGTCTGCTTTAAAAATAAAGACGGGCTGGAGAGCTGGCTCAGCAGTTAAGAACACTGGCTGTTCTTGCAGAGGACCCAGGTTCAATTCCTAGCACCCACATGGTGGCTGACAACCGTCCTCAACTCCAGTTCCAGGGGATCTGACGCCCTCTTCTGACCTTCATGGGCACTGCACAACACTTACACACATGCAGGCGATACACTCATATACATAAAATAAAATAATAAATAAAATATTTAAAAATAAAGACAATCGCAGCACTTGGGAGCAGAGGCAGGTGAATCTCCCTGAGATCAAGGCCAGCCTGGTCTACATAGTGAGTTCCAGGACAGCTGGGGCTACAGGGAGACCCTGCTTCAAAAACCCAAGAGACAATAAAAACATTGAATAACAAATAACATGATCTATAGCACTCAGTTCTTTTGTCTGGATATTTTTGAGACAAAGTTTCACTACGTGGCCTTGGATGGCTTGGAACTTACTATGTAGACCAGCCAGACCTCAAAATCACAGAGATCTACCTGCTTCTGCCTCCCAAGTGGTGGGACTAAAGGTGTACACCACTGCTTGGCCCTCCTGCACTTACTTTATCATAACTTATGAGTAAGAACTTGTTGGATACCAGCTGAGCAGCAATTCCTGACACTGGATGAATGGCAGCCTTAACTTTCTTATAGGGAAACAAAATAATTCAGAGGCATAATTATTTTTGTTTTCATTTATACTTTTTATTGAGATATGACCTAACCCAATGAAGTACACTGATCTTTTTTTCATTCAATGAACATTTTATTTTTACTATTTTATTTTATTCTTTTCTTTTCTATTTTATTTTATTATTGTAGAGACAGAGTCTTTCTGTAGCTCCAGCTGGCCTGGAACTCACTATGTAGACCAGGGTGGCCTTGAACTCATGGAGATTCACCTGTCTTTGCCTCCTGAGTGCTGGGATTAAAGGCATGAGCCGCAATACCCAGCTTTTTATATTTGAGGGCCTACTTAAAAAATATATATAAATATATATATATAATTTTTATGTGTATGAGTGTATTGCCTGCATGTATATAAGTGCACCCATGTCACCTGTGTCATGCAATGCCTGAGGAGGACAGAAGAACTGGAGTTACAGATGATTG